CCCCGCCCCACCGGCCTGCTGGCCACGCCCACATGACCGCGCCCAGACCTGGTCACCAAGCCTCCTCCCGTGCCCTCAGGGCCGCATTCCTCTGGGCCCTGTGTAACCCAGACCCCATCAGGCCACGCCCCGCAAAGCCCCAAAGCGCCACTCCAGTGTGGGTTAAGGTGCAAGACAGGACCAGATCCCTGCCCTCAGGGAGCTTATAAACAGTGGTTCTCAACCTTCCTAATGCCGCGACCCTTTAATACAGTTCCTCATGTTGTGGTGACCCCCAATTTCATTGTTACAAATTGAACGTAATTAAAGCATAGTGATTAATCACAAAAACATATGTAATTATATATGTGTTTTCCGATGGTCTTAGGCAACCCCTGTGAAAGGGTCGTTCGACCCCCAAAGGGGTCGCGACCCACAGGTTGAGAACCGCTGCTCTAAAAGGAAGGCCTAACAATAAATATGAGCAATTAGGACATTTTCTTATGGTCATAACAATCATAGCTGCACTTGTACAGTACTGAAATAACTTAATTTTCACCACAATTCTGTAATACAGGTACTCTTATCCTGTGCTTACAAATAAAAGGAGGATCAGAGAAGTTAAGTTACTTGCTCAAGGTCACACAATCTGTTAGTTGTGACATCAAAAAGTGCTAAGGAATTCCCCTTAAATTCACCACCATCAGATGAGAAGTTGAATTGACTCCCAATGAAGAGCATGGACTCCTTGGATGAACAGGCCTTGGTTTCAAATCTTGCCTCTGTCACTGCCTAGCTCTGTGACCTTGAGCAAGTCAATCAAACTCCTTGAGCTTTGCAAGCTCCATCTGTAAAATGGAGTCCTTCATCCTTCATAGAATTGTGTTTGTGAGGAGTGACGTCAGAAACAGGCAAGGAACCAGGTACAGAGTAAGTGCTGAAAAAAAACATCACCGATTCATGTTATTAGCAATATTTTTCTTACAAGTAGGAAACCATGTGGCTTGTTCAAGTAAGTAGTGGAGGCAAGATGTGAAACAGGTTTGATTCTGGAAGTCACTGACACCCCAGGGCTCTGATGTTTATAGGTCAGTTGTCCCAGACCCCACCCCATCTACCAGCCCAGCTCACTCTAATCAACTTAGTTTTGTTCTGGCTTCCTGGTGGGCCTGGTGCCCAGCCTGGGAGTGGCAGAAGGCCAGCCGGGCATGCTCTGCCCAGCACCCACACCTCCCTGCCCTTTCTTCCAGAGAATGGGAACCGCTATGAGGGCTACTGGCAGGGAGGCTTGAAGAACGGGCCTGGGCGTTTCTTCCACCTGGACCACGGTCAGCTATTTGAAGGCTTCTGGGTGGACAACATAGCCAAGTGTGGCACAATGATTGACTTTGGCCGAGATGAGGCTCCTGCGCCTACCCAGTTCCCCATTCCTCAGGTGGGCAGCTCTCACCAGGGCCCTGTGGCCACACCCAGAAAGAGACAGAAAACAGCACCCCCACCCCCCAACCACACCCAACCTGGCCTGATCCAGCCCAATCCAACCAGGGAACAGACAAGGTTTTGTTTTCAGTCTGGGTATCTCCAGGGAGGCAGGTAGCACCTCACAAGGCAGACAGCAGCCCCCAAAGCAGGCAGCACCTCATAAAACTGGCACCCTGGGACTTCCATGCTCCTCAAACCCATCCCTGCTGTTTCCCCCCAGGTCAAAATTGTAGACCCTGATGGTGTGCTAGAGGAAGCCTTGGCCATGTTCAAGAAGAAAGAGGAGCCCAGTGACACAGGAACCAGGAGGTCACGGTTAGATTCCCCAGTCCAAGCACATGCCCGGGTTGCAGGCTCAATCCCCAGTAGGGGGCGTGCAGGAGGCAGCTGATCAATGATTCTCATCATTAAATTAATGTTTCTCTCCCTCTCTCTTCCTCTTTCTGAAATCAATAAAAACATATTATTTTTAAAAGAAGAGGAAAAACAAGGAGACTGATGCCAGGTGAGGGGGTGGGCACACCTGTCACCCTCTATGTGGGTGAGGCAGCTCCCGGAGTCTGCTTTGGGGGAGGGTTTCCTTGTCCTTTCCGGTTCCTCCCCTTCAAAACCCATTTCACTGAAGACCAGTCCATTCCAGTCCTGCCCAAACCCTCCCATTTGTACCCTGGGCTTACTGGGAGGAACGCTGCTTGGAGGACTTTTTTGCCCCAGCCCTCCACTTGTCCAGTGGGCTCGTCCAGTCCTCGCTCCTCCTGCTGTGGGTATTAGGTTCGAGGAGAGGGCACTGGTACAGTGTCTTTGAAACACCAGCTCCCACCACCCCTTCACCCCTGCAGAGACTACCAGAGCTCCAGGAGAAAGTCAAGTCCGCATTACCCAACTGCTCAAACCGGTGGAGCTCCCACTGGAGGAGTGAGTGGTGACTCCGGGCACACCCTTGGCATCCTCAGAGAGCACCTCATCCTCCCAGCACTGGATCATTCTTTGTCAATAGGGGCCAGTGATTCTCTCCCCAGTTGGCCTCGGGGGCCCTCTTGTTACAGCTTTTATTCTAGGCCCCTATCCCTGAGTGCACGAGAATAAAGGAGAACCTGGTGGCATTCGCCTGGGCCTGTGATGTGAGGTTTGCGGGGCAGGAGAGCCACAGGAGGGATTTCAGGTAGAGAAGAGGGAAGAGGGCTCTGGCCTGCATGGGTTGACCCTACAGGGGAGAGAGAGGAGGTGTCTCCCAGCCTCTGAGCTCTGAGATGCTCCAGAGAGCAGAAAGCCTGCATCTGCTCACATTGGTCACTAAGATTTGGGGTTAAACCAGGGGCTCTGGACTTGGGAATCCTGTGGGAACTTTAAAAGCTACAGACGCCCACGTTCCACGCCCAGTTTCTCATCTGTCTGGGGTGAGGCCTGGGCCTTCAAAAGCTTCCCCAGATGACTTCAATGTACAGCGGGGGCCAAGAACTCCCGACTTATTGGATTTGTGACCCTTAGCCAGGGACCCCCGGGCTTCAGCTACAAAATGGGACTTAAGAGATCTCACAGGGGTATCGTGAGGATTCGCTAACAGATGTAACCATATGAGTAACATGTATTGAGGTTAGTTGTGAAGCAGATATCTGGGAAGGGCTCTGCATCACTCTAATCTAGACAACATTCCTGCACGATAAGAGAGACTCTTACATAATGAGTAGGAACATGAGCTCTGCAGCCAGATTGCCTGGGTGTGAATCCAGCGTGATTTATTAGCTGTGTGTTCTTGGGTACATCACCTAATCTCTCTGTTCTCTAGGTTTCCTCTTCTCTAACATGGGAATAACGGTACTTACCACCCAGGGCTGTTGTGGTTACTGTGAGGATCAAATAAGGCATCCCATCTCCTTCCCAGGGCGCATTTGGCATGTCCCGAAACATTTTTGGTTGTGAGAACTGGCAAGAATGCTACTGGCACTTAGTGGGTAGAGACTGGGGATCCTGCTAAACATGCTGCAGTGTAAACTCTACAAAAGAATGATTCAGCCCACCCTCAACAGTGTAGCCCTGGAATACCATGATGTTTGTAAAGGCCTCGCCAAGCACCTGGCACATAGTAAAGACTCAATAAATGTTCACCGACACTGTCGAGGTTCTCTCTGCCTCTAAGTCATAAACAGCGTGGCCTGACCCAAGGCATGGCACCTCTGACACCAGGAAGCTGAGCCTGGCAGCCTCGGGGCACAGAATTAACAGGGCACCCACTCGGGTGCCAGGCCCTATGCTGACAGCTTTACCCGTGTCCTCTCCCATGACCCCTCATCAACCTATGAGGTGTCCTATTATTAGTGCCATTTTTGTTGTTGTTAATCCTCACTCGAGGATATTTTTCCATTGATTTTTAGGGAGAGGGGAAGAGAGGGAAAGACAGAGAGAAACATTGATATGAAACAAACACATTGATTGGTTGCCTCCTGCACGAGCCCTGACCAGGGCCTGGGCTGGGGAGGAACCTGCAACCGAGGTACGTGCACTTGATCGGATTCAAGCCCGGGACCCTTTGGTCCACAGGCTGACACTCTATCCACTGAGCCAAACCAGCTAGGGCTATTAGTGCCATTTTAGAGAGGAAACTGAGGTCCAGGGAGGTTTCCTAGTCACCAAGTTATAAGTCGATTGTACTTAAACAGAGGCCTATCTGCTCTTAAGGTACAGAACAGTGGCAGTGTGTGCAAGCTACCATTTTTTTTCAGAAAAAGCAGAGGTGTGTGCTGGTTTATGTATAACTCACTCTCTACATGGGAAATAAAGTGAATTGGCAACAATGGTTGTCTTGCCCTCTCGCTGGTGTGGCTGTTGGTTGAGTGTCCTACCATGTACCGAAAGATCACCTGTTCAATTCCCAGTCGAGGTGTGTAGGGAGGTAACCAATCAATGTTTCCCTCTCCCCCTCTTCCTTCCTCTCTCTCTAAAGTCAATTAAAAAAAAATGCTATAAAACCCTAATATGCAAATTGACCAAATGTTGGAACGACCAGTCACTATAATGCGCACTGACCACCAGGAGGCAGATGCTCAATGCAGGAACTGCCCCCTGGTGGTCAGTGCGCTCCCACAGCAGGAGCGCAGCTCAGCCAAAAGCCAGGCTCATGACTGGTGAACACAGTGGTGGGAGCTTCTCCCACCCCTGCGGCAGCGCTAAGGAGCAGCGAGCAAGTGGGCGGTAAGGAGTGAGGGGTCCCGGACTGGGAGAGGGATCCCAGACTGCGAGAGGGATGTCTGACTGCTGGCTTCAGACATCCCCCAAGGGGTCCCGGACTGCGAGTGGGCACAGGCTGGGCTGAGAGACGCCCCCCCTCCAGTGCACGAATTTCGTGCACTGGGCCTCTAGAGTGTGTGTGTATATTTTTTAAAATATATATTTTATTGATTTTTTACAGAGAGGACGGGAGAGGGATAGAGAGTTAGAAACATCAATGAGAGAGAAACATCGATCAGCTGCCTCCTGCACACTCCCTACTGGGGATGTGCCTGCAACCAAGGTACATGCCCTTGACCGGAATCGAACCTGGGACCCTTGAGTCCGCAGGCTGATGCTCTATCCACTGAGCCAAACCAGTTAGAGCTGTGTGGGTATATTTTAAAGTCATTGTCTCTGGGGAGACTCAGGAACCTGGGAATAGGGGAGGGAAAAATTTCACTGTGTATCTGGAATCATGTGAATGTATTATCTATTCAAAGTATCAATAAAATTGAAATTAAAGAGACTGTGTTCTTAACTACTAGCATTTCCATAAATTGCCTGGATTTAAAAGTACCTGGAGTTAAAAATACAGTATCAGACACACCTAGGGATGGGCTTGGGTATCTGCATTTTACAAGCCAACCTGGTGATTCTTGAGTTTAGGCAAGTTTAGGGGAAAAAACTTAAGACTACCGTCATAGAAATTATTCCAGCGGGATCCCAGGTCTCTGCAGAAGCAGGGAGGTGGATCTCTTAGGAAGATGCATGGAAGGTGCCTTCGTCTTCTCTGGGGAGCAGTGGAAGGTTTCAAACAGTGGCCCCTGCCCCGTCCTAATCATCCCAGGCCAACCAGGGTGGGTCCTGGTGCACGTGCTGCAGGAGGAAGGCAAGAAACTACCACAGGAGAAAGGACGGCCCCCTTCCCCATTCAGCCCACAAAGCTGCTGTTGGCCAAGTTCAAGTCTGCACAGGACAAGGACTAGGGCCACACTTACCCCCAACCAACCTTCACTTTAGTCAGAGCACTTTGTATTTATAAAACCACTTTCTGAGACAGACAGAGCTCTCAAATGCAAAGACCCACGGAGGCCAGGCAAGTAGCATAGATGAAGCTGGCCTGGTGTGAGAAAAGAGGGAGCAGTGGAGACTGTGGCTAACATATGTCCCGAGGAAGAGGGTGGCTACAACTCACTCCTGCTCGTTGTTGCTCTACAAAAAGGTGGGCCCAGTGCTATTGCTGGATCTTCTCACTTTTTTTTTTTAATCTTTAAATTCTTTATTAGTTAAGGAATTACAAATGTGTCCTCATCCCCCTCCCCACTAACCCCAATCCTCCCCCCCCCACTCATGCTCTCATCCCCCTGTTGTCCATGTCCATTGGTTTGGCTTATATGCATGCATACAAGTCCTTTGGTTGATCTCTTCCCCTCACCCCCACCCTCCCCTACTTTCCCTCTGGGGATTGGATCTTCTCACTTCTTAAGCAAAGCCAGAATCGGACCCTGTGAATGCCCAAGACTTTCCAGGTTCGAATTCTGACCAACTGTTTAACCTCTTCAGGCATCAATTTTGTCATCTGCAAAATGGAGACAAATACTCCTGACAAAATGCACAACCTGATTATAAAAATGACAAAAAATACCAGAAAAACCAGACTGAGGCAACATCCTACAAACCACAGATCTGGACTTTTCAAAAATGTCAATGTCACAGGATAAAGAGAGGCTGTTCCAACTAAATGTAACACCCTGATCCTGGATGTAAAAACCACTGGCAGAAAGGACATGATTGTGACAAGTGGGAAAGTGAACACAAATGTTCTATTAGGTAGTAAGGCATCAACATCAGATTTCCTGAAATGTGGTTATGTAGGAGAATGTCCTTGGTTTTAGGAGAAAGTATTTAAGCATGAAGGGTCACCATATTTGCAATCAACACATATGGCTCAAGGGCAAAAACACAGTGATCCTCATCATTCATGGTTTCTGTATTTGTGAATCTGCCTACTTGCTGAGGTGGAATAAGGAACTCCGCCTTGTTTCAGCTCTCATGGTCTATTTAGTGCCATGTTTTTCACGTTGTGTGCTTTTTATTGATTTCACCACTTAAAATGGTTCTCAAGAGTAGCATACCCGAGGGCAGGAAGGCTGTGACATGCGTTACGTACCTGTGTCAGGTATAAGCTTCATTCATGCACGAGTGATAGTTCTGTTGGCCTGAATTCAGTATCAATAAGTCAACAATATATGTTCAATAAGATGTCTTTAGATAGAAACATACATAAAATCAGTTGACAAAAAATATTGTGACCAGAGGCTCGCAGGAACCTAGCCCATATTTCCCAGAGAAGCAGTGGTTCAGTATCCACTCATTCAGCGTTCACAGTGATTTTATAGAACAGAACTACTGCAAATAACAAGAAATGACTGCATTTATATTTGTTACTGTTCATGCAACTTTTTGGTAGGTTTAAAATTTCTCAAAATGTTGAGAAAAACAATCAGCTTAGAGGCTCACCTGATTGGGGCACCAAGAGAAATGATACCAGGCAGCCCAGACCCAACAAATACAGACACAAGAGGCATCCCTTATGAGTATATTTATGTGTTCACACACACGCGCACACACTCGACGCTGAACAGGGAGAAGGAGGTCAAGACAGAAAGGACAGGAAGCATCCAGATGGCACTGGCATGGGCGGGGAGGAGGGACAAAGGGAGCATTTGTCCTGGCTCTGGCTCCCATTGGTGGCCACCTAGCAGGAGGCGAATCCTGGAGCTGGAAGAACAGGAAGTGCTTATTCTCCTAGAGGAAAGTTTCAAAGTGCAGTAATTTCTCTTTGAAAAGAGCTTCTTCCCTCCATTTCTGTCCCCTGACGAAAGCCCGCACCCTATGCAGGCTGTCCTTGAGGCTGGGGCAGGACAAGGTCATGGGGAAGGGCATAAGGCCAAAGCTAGGAAGTGCCCAGGCCTGGGAGGGCTTAGGCATAGTGGCTGCCTGGTGTCAGGGGGTGGTCTCCTCTGTGGTCCAGCTGGTCCTGCAAGCGGGCGAACTCAGCCAGCTCGTTGAGCTCCTGGAACTGTCGGTCCGTCTTATGGCTGACCAGTGAGCGGTAGAAGTGGACAGCAAAAACAATGAAGACCAGGCCAAAGGGGACCATGATGGTGGTTGAGGCGATGGCGGCGGCCTGGCCTGGGGTGATGCCACCAGTGCCACCACTGCTGTCATTGGAGACCGAGCCGGCGGCTGGGGGCTTACTAGTGGGCCGCGGCTGGCCTGGCTGCCTCTTGAGGGGCAAGAACTTGACCCAGCAGAGCAGCACAACCTCAGCCAGGAAGAGCAGCGTGCCGATGACAGTGGAGAAGGCCCAGGCCAGCTCGATATGGCGATGCATGCGCTCGTGGGGTGACTCCTTGACCGAGTTGAGGTTGTGCACATTGCTCACTGCTTCGATGTTGGGCAGGATGCAGGTGCTGATCATTAATGCAAACAGGTGCACGGCCACTAGCACCGTCGTGCAGGCACTGAAGGCGATGAGCAGTCCCGGTGGGTAGTCATGGTCAGCATCCAGCTGCACCTCCACCATCGCCACCTGGGGGTAGGGGAGAGGCAGGCTGAGCACCAGGACAGTCACGGCCCACAGAGGCTTTCCTCCAGTCAAACCCTGTGACCCTGGGAAAGTCACTTGGCCTCTCTGAGCCTCAGTTTCCACATATGTATAATGGAGATCATAAGACCCATCCACTTGGGGTTGGGAAGCTGCAGAAAGTACAGGTCAAGAAAGCAGGCTTGGAGCCCAGGCTGCCAGTATTTGAATCTACCAATAGTTACAAGCTCTTGGAAAAATCCCTGAATCTCTCTGAGACTCAACTTTCTCATTTGTACAGTAGGAACATCATATTAATTCAAGGATTATTTTTAACAATTAAACAAGAGCTCCTAGCACGTAGCAAACACCTCCCAAATGGCAACCGCTGCTCTTACCACCCAGCCAGGTATTAAAAACCAACCACCACAAATGGTTAAAATTGTTTTATGCATGTCTTACTATGATAAAAAGTTTGCATTAAAAAAAAGAAAAAGAAAAAGCAACCACCCCCAACCTCCCTCTTGGCCCCACACTCCCATTCTTAAGAAGACGGGTGAGGATGGAGATGAACACCCTCCCAGGTCATTCCCAGGCCCTTTCTGAGAATACAGTGCACCAACCAACAAGGAACCACGAGCAGCTTCCCAGAAGAGATGGGCTCTAGCCAGGTGCAGTGGGACAGCCCTGGGGCCATCTACACCCCAGGCCCCAGCTCAGGGATCCAAGGCTGACGCACTAGCTACTCCCCAGTTCCTGGAGACTTATGGATCCGGGGTCACCAGGGGCATGTTCTGGGTCTGCCACCTGCTGCTTCTCACCTGGACCTTGCAAATCACCCCCAAGTGAAGGAGCCAGCGCATTAGATCTGAGCCGGGAGCAGCAGGTGCTGGGCACACTGCCAGGGCCTGCCTGCCGGGCCTGGAGCGGTGAGCACCAATGGCAATACCATTAGGGACAGTGACCCTTCATGCAGTGTCCACTTCGTATGTACCAGGCTCAGAGAGTGGGAGGTCTGATGCTGAAATGTGTCCACCAGCCCCACACCAGCCTGCCCTGACCTTTCCTTACTCCCGGGGAGGGGAGTGGGCTCCTTCCTTCCCCACCAGCTCTCCTTCTGCTTGTAATGCCTGGCCTAGTTCGCATTCATTTCTCGTTCCTCAACACTTCCTATGGCCGGGAGAGGCAGAGTGGGACAGTGGTTAGGGGCACAGGCTCTGGAGCCAAGCAGCCTGCCTTTGAACCCTGACTCCTCTGCCTTTTATTAGGCTGTGACTCTGGCAAGTTCCTCCAATTTTCTGGGCCTTGGTTTAGAAACGTCACCCCCAAACCCACTGTCTCTATACGAAATCCTCTGAGGTTTCTCTCTTCCAGTTCTAGGAGGATGTACAATCTAGATCCGACTTGGTGTCCAGCGCCTTCAAGAATCTGGTGACTGCCGTGACTGGTTTGGCTCAGTGGATAGAGCGTCGGCCTGCGGACCGAAAGGTCCCGGGTTCGATTCCAGTCAAGGGCATGTACCTTGGTTGCGGGCACTTTCCCATTAGGAGGTGTGCAGGAGGCAGCTGATCGATGTTTCTCTCTCATCGATGTTTCTAACTCTCTATCCCTCTCCCTTCCTCTCTGTAAAAAATCAATAAAATATATTAAAAAAAAAAAAAAAAAGGAATCTGGTGACAACAGTGGACACCCTCCTTAGAAGGCCCAGGTTTATATATTCATAGGACTTTTCAGACACACTCAATGGGATTCATAGATCCTCGCTCTGTAATTCCCACAAGGGAGGACTGTATGAACTTTTCAGTGCAGGAGTTTATAAAATGTTTCAAGTTCCTATAAAGCTGAAGCAGTGCCATTAGGATTTTCGTCGTTTTTTAAGACCATTGGTGGCCTAATGTCAACCCTGAGATTTTAGCACATGTGGTTGAGGGATATGGGGCATCAGAGCAGGCCACCAGGGCACGGCGAATTAAAGGCCACTTCCGGAGGCTCCATGGCCTCTGTCCCCAGGGGTTGCCCACATGGGAAAAGGGGGGCATGCACCCTCCAGCACAGGGTGCCTCTTGCCACCTCCCCACACCCAGCACTTCCTCTTCCTCTTTTTTGCCTGCTGCCCCGGCATCTGAAACCAGAGAAGGGACGAGCAGGAGAGCCTGCTGCTTGGCTGCCCCAGGTCCACGGGCTACTTATTCACTCACTGGAAATGTCCAGACCCATGAGGTGCATCAGGCCCTGAGCTGGACACTGGGAGCGTAAGGGGGGCGGGTATATACAGGTCATGCTCCCTTCCTTGCTATACCCCTCAGTATATAGCCATTACGAGTGAACTGGCTCTTCCACTTGTCCTTAGAAGACCTGGCATATAATAAGCTTAATAAAGTGTCAATGATTATTGGCAACATCATTATTAAAGCCTTGTGGAAAGGGAGTAACAGGCCCTAGCCAGTTTTGCCCAGTGGATAGAGCCATCAGCCTACGGACTGAAAGGTCCCGGGTTTGATTCTGGTCAAGGGTACATGCCCGGGTTGTGGGCTCGATCCCCAGTAGGGGGCGTGCAGGAAGCAGCCAATCAATGATTCTCTCTCATCATTGATGTTTCTTTCTCTTCCCCTCTCCTTTCCTCTCTGAAATCAATAAAAAAATAAAAAAATAAAGGGAGTAACAGGAGCATTTCCCTCATAGGGTTATGCTGCTATAGACTGAATGTTTACATCATCCCCTCTAAATTCATACTTTGCAACCCAAACCCCTAATGTGATGGTGTTAGGAGGTGGGGCCTTTGGGAGGTGATTAGATCATAAGGGTGGAGCCCCATGATGGGTTAGTGCCCTTACAAAAGAGGCTTCGGAGACTCCCTGGCCTTCCCCCATGAGAGGACACAGTGAGAAGATGGTGTCCATGAACCAGGAACATCGAATCTACAAATGCCTTGAGTTTGGACTCCAGAGCTGTGAGAAATAAATGTCGGTTGTTTATAAGCCACCCAGCCTATGGTATTCTGTTATAACAGCCCCGAAGGACTAAGACCAAGGATTAAATGAGGTCTTGATATGTAAGTGTTTAACACAGGGCCGGCCCACAGGAGGTGCTCAATTAATCTCAGTTAAAAAGAAAAATGCAGGGCTTGAAGTGGAAGAGAAATAGCCCCTGGTGCCCTCAGCTCAGGCTGGAGAGAGCTGACCCCACATGCCGATGTTCTACCCCTTGGGGTGGACTCCCATTGTGGGCCGTGTTTGCCCCAGTTATCATCTCTGGGCACAGCAAAAAGTGTGTCCCAAACCGCACCTGGACAAATGGCCACACCAACAGGACAGAGACCACCCTTTGCAGATCACTTGTCACAACCACAGGCCTCAGGGCTGGATGCAGACACAGCTGGCCTGGGGACACCAGAACTGGCTAGCCCTCCCCCAGCTCTTGGGCCAAGGAGAGGCTGGGCAGCTCAGTCTGTGACACTGGGCCCTCGGAGGAAGAGGAAGGGGCCCGAGGCCCTGCTCCGGAAGAAACCCCTTCACCCTTGCCGGACCCTACAATTCCTGGAACTTCGACCATGCAGGCTGGCTGTATGCATGGTCCCCACAGTGGGGATCAAGTTCTGGCTAGCCCTCCCCCAGCTCTTGGGCCAAGGAGAGGCTGGGCAGCTCAGTCTGTGACACTGAGCCCTCGGAGGAAGAGGAAGGGGCCCGAGGCCCTGCTCCGGAAGAAACCCCTTCACCCTTGCCGGACCCTACAATTCCTGGAACTTCGACCATGCAGGCTGGCTGTATGCATGGTTCCCACAGTGGGGATCAAGTACCATGGGGCTGCATAAAGGAACGTTTGGCACAAATCACAGATCCTGATGAAAATTGTTCACAGGAATAAAGCCACTGCTTTTTCCAGGATGCTTCCCGCTTGGGAAATCTCCTCATGTGAAGGGAACGTAAAATCACAGGGGCCTCATGAACCTGGCAGGCGACTCCCAGGGCCCCAGCTGAGTCCGGAGCGATAGATCAGATTGCAAGCAGCTTCACAAGGTAATTATAGCTGGAGCGCTGGGCGAGTTAACCCAAAATAAACAGCTTCCATCCAGCCACGGGCCTGTTTGAACCTGGCCACAGGGGTCCCGAAGGGATAGGAAGCGTGAGAGACTGCCAGCCCCACCTCACAGTGGTCCACGGATTCCCCACATGTGGGATTGGGACACTGAGATGCCAATTTTCAAGCAAGCCAAGAGGGTCATGTGATTCTGGAAGGTAGGGCCTGGTTGGCTTTGCCAGAGTCTGCCCCTGTGCCTGAATGCCAACCACCTCTCCTCACTCCTGCTGGGCTCCATAGAGACCCTGGCTACCTGGCGCCCGGAAGTCCAGGCCCTTCCGAGACAGCCCTCCTACGCCTGGCCGACCCTAGTGCCCACAGCCAGGACACAGGACTCTAGGCTTCCCCAAGCCTGGGCTTCCCCCACTTTGAGGAGGGTGGGTGGCTGCAGCCTGGAACAAGAAAGCTGCCAAGCCACAGTCACCCAGGCTCACTCGGAGCTGCCTGAGCCTGCCCGTCCCACCTCAGATGCAAACCATCTATTAAGAGAGGGCTGAGGTCCAGTCCAGCAGTTTACAAACTCTTTTGACACCACCTCCAGTACTCCAAATGTTTCTATAAATAGAAACACACACATTTATAACAGAAACTAAAGTTCCAACAAACAATACTTATCCTTAAAAGCACCAACAAGGTCTATTCTTACAACATAGGATGCATGCTGCTACTTTCCATTTCATTCCATTAAAAAAAAAATGCTGGTTGCAACTCACTAAATTTATGCCATAAACCACGGGTTGGGGGACGAGGGGGAGAGAAGAGGCCTAGACTTTCTCTTCCATCTGGCTAATTCCGACTTCTTTAGGTTTTACCGTCCAAGTCACCACTATTCGATGGCCTCCCGGGTGAGGACAGGGCCATTCATTCATTCATGAAAATATTTATTGAGAACCTATGTGCCTGGAAGGTCTTATGGCTCTGCTGGAGAGAAAGCAGGAAGTCAAAGAGCCCCAGGGAGGAAGACAGGCACTGAAC